AGCTAATTTTTGTATTTTTAGGAGAGATGGGGTTTCTCCGTGTTAGCCACACTGGTCTTGATTCGCACTACTGAGCTCAGGCGATCCGCCTGCCTCGGCCTCCCGAAGCGCTGGGATTGCAGGTGTGAGCCACCCTGCCTAGCCTGGGGCCACTTTTATAAGGACACTAATCCCATTCCCGAGGGCCCCACCCTCAGAACTTAATCACAGATCAGTGAACTTTGTGTTTATTAAGAAGAACCTCCATTTGTCTATTACATGTCGCAAATATTTCCTCCATGTCTGTCATGATGAACCTTTCAGTTAATCCTCCTGAAGTTTTACATTTCTACATAATCCAGTTGATCTAATTTTCCCCATTATGCCTTCTAAATTGTATGTTTTGCTTAGAAAATAGCTCTCTAAGATTATTATTTTTATTCATTTTTTTTTGAGACATGGTCTTGCTCTGTTGCTGAGGCTGGAGTGCAGTGGAGTGATCATAGCTCACTCCAGCCTCAATCTCCTGGGCTCAACTGATCCTCCCACCTCAGCCTCTCAAGTAGATGGGATCACAGGTGTGTGCCACCATACCTGGCTAATTATTTTTTTTTACAAGATTATTAAAATGATAAGAGAAGTCCTATAATTTTTCTAGAAGTTTCCCCTTTTTTAGTGGTTATTAATTTTAGACACTCCTAGATGCTGAATCTTTATAAAATTCAGTTATCTGTTTAGTACAAATTCAACATCTGGGTCAGTAGATTGACTCCCAACCAGCTGTGGCCATCTGAATTTTGCATTGCCACATTTCATTATTTTCCATTTGGACAGGTTCAATCAATTTAACGAACAGAGAGAGACTTTCAAAAAAAAAAAGAAAAAGAAAAAAGAAAGAGGCTGGGCATGGTGGCTCACACCTGTAATCCCAGCACTGTGGGAGGCCGAGGCAGGAGGATCACCTGAGGTCAGGAGTTTGAGACTAGCCTGGCCAATGTGGTGAAACCCCATCTCTACTAAAAATACAAAAATTAGCCAGGCATGGTGGCACATGCCTGTAATCCCAGCTACTCGGGAGGCTGAGGCATGAGAATAGCTCAGAGGTTGCAGGGAGCTGAGATTGCACCAGTTAACTCCAGCCTTGGTGACAGAGTCAGACTCCATCTCAAAATAATAATAATAATAATAATAATAATTGGCCAGGGGTGGTGGCTTATGCCTGTAATCCCAGCACTTTGGGAGGCCGAGGTGGGCGGATCACCTGAGGTCAGGAGTTCGAGACCAGTCTGGCCAACATGGTAAAACCCCGTCTCTACTAAAAATACAAAAAAAATTGCCAGGCATGGTCATAGGCACCTGTGATCCCAGCTACTGGAGAGGCTGAGGCAGGAGAATTGCTTGAACCAAGGAGGTGGAGGTTGTAGTAAGCCAAGATCACGCCACTACATTCCAGCCTGGGCAACAAGAACGAAACTTCATCTCAAATAATAATCATCATCATGATAATATTAAAAGGCTGGTCATGGTGTCTCATGCCAAGTGCTGGGATTACAGGCATGAGACACCATGACCAGCCTTTTGGGAGGCTCGGGTGGGTAGATCACTTGATACCAGGAGTTCAAGGCCAGCCTGGCCAACATAGTAAAACCCTGTCTCCACTAAAAATACAAAAAATTAGCCAGATATGGCAGCAGGCGCCTGTCATCCCAGCTACTTGGCGAGGCAGAGGTTGCAGTGAGCCAAGATCACACCACTGCACTCCAGCCTAGGTGAGACAGAGATTCTGTCTCCAAAAAAAAAAAAAAAAGAGGATTACATAAATGTTTTGAAATAATTATCCTTGGTTACAAAGATCAATAATAAGGGTGCGGCTGGACAGGCGGTTGCTGGGCAGATGGTCCTGCAGATGTATTTTTTTCTGTAAGTTTGCAATAGCCTTTGTGCAAAGTTGTGATATTTGTAGTCTTTTCTGTTATCAGACATACAAGTGTGAGAACTCTTTCTTCGCAGCCCTCCTTCTTAGCCTCTGTTTGTCAGGGGTTTCTTAACATTAGTGACTCCATTTTTATTCTGATAACTTTCACAATTCAATTCCATCCATCTTTTCTTTGGTAAACCAGGGTATTTCCAAACTGGTTTGGAGAAGCATTTTGATAGTTGCAAGGTCAAAGTGTTCCCAGCTCATATACTCTCCCCCACCTTGGCCTGCCGCAGGAGAGGTGAGGTGCGTGAAAGTATTTGCCAAAGGGACCCTTGCCATCTCTGCTTCGAAGGATTACACACTGCGCTTGTGGAACTTACTCTCTGGCCAGGAGAAATTTACCATTTGGGATGGAAGCTCAAAAAATCTCACGGGACCTCAGATCTGGAGCCTTCATGTGGATGAAGCACACAAAGTTGTGTATTCGGCATCTGGCTCAAAGGTAACAAATACCTGCCCTGTTTGTAAAGGAAAGCTGAGACCAGAACATTCAAAGACAGAAGAGGCCATTTATATAAGGAGGAGCTCCCTGATACAGTGGTGGGGTGGGGTGTAAACAGTATACACAACCACTTGAGAGGGTACTATAAAAAGTTTCAGACTTGCCGAGCGCAGTGGATCATGCCTGTAATCCCAGCACTTTGGGAGGCCAAGGTGGGCGGATCACCGGAGGTCAGTAGTTCAAGACTAGCCTGACTAACACAGTGAAACCCCATCTCTGCTACAAATACAAAATTAGCTGGGGGTGAACCCAGGAGGCAGAGGTTGCAGTGAGCCAAAATTGTGCCATTGCACTGCAGCCTGGGCAACAAGAGTGAAACTCCACCTCAAAAAAATAAAAATAAAAAGAGGTTTCAGACTTCATAGTTGGATTCGATAATCCTGATAGTTCTTTCTGACCCCAAGATTTGAAACCTTTCATCTTTTTTGAATATCAGCATCTTAGGGCTATAAATTTCCCTCAAAGTACTGCTTTACCTACATCATGTGCATTTTGGCATGTATTTTCGTTTACATACAATTTAAAATGCTTTCGGATTTCACTTTTGATGTTTTTCTTTGATACATGGGCTACTTAAAACTGTGCTATCAGTTTCCAGATATTTGAAGAATTTCTAGATAGGGTTCTGTTTTTTATTTTTATTCTAATTAAATTTGATTTGTATGAGGTAAAACCTTTCAAATTCACTGAGACTTGTTTTACAG